TCCCCAGCAGCACCCTGCAATGCAGCGACACACACAATGGCGAGTGCCACGCTTCCCCCTGTCATTCCCCCCAGAGAAGCCCTTTTGTTTGAGCAGCATCTGGACCTGACCTCCATGCATTTGAGGTTCGTGACACCCCCAATCCACCCTAGCTCCTCATCTCATCTCATCTCATCTCATGTCCTCTCCTCTCCTCTCCTATCCTAACCTCCCCTTAAAAACCTGCTCTGCCTCTACAGCAACCCCCTCCTCCTCCTCCTCCTCCTCCTCCTCCCTCTCCTCTCCTTCCCTATACATTGTCCATTCTTCACACACACACACATACACACATACACATACACATACACACATACACCCCCCACCCCTTCTAGCTCAGGAGAGCAGCCATCACTTGCTTCTTGAAAAGAAGGTCTGTGTACCAGTGGGCCTTACACAAAGCCTGCAGGGTGAATTAGAAAACCAAAGAGGAAAAAGCACCACAGCTACTGGCCATCTGTCCCTCTGGGTTGGCCGTGCCTGCTCCGAGTGTGCCTGCCCCTCTATTTCCCTCACATAATTCCCACCCCTACCCCCACCTTCCCTGATTCCCTTAGCCTATATACACAGCATCATCCATACACACACACACACACACACAAACACACACACACACTCTGCCATGCATACATCACAGGCTTTGGATGGCGGATGGCGGTGAGAGTGGGAAAAAAAGGAGAAGGAGGGCACAAGGAGAAAATAAGGAGCTGCCACTTGCCTGGATGCAGAGCGTGCCCGGAGCCAGCAAATCAAGCTGTAATCCCTTTCTTTGTGTGAGCGGCAAACAGAGAAATTTGTCTCCAACAATGATTTTCCCCGAGATCGGCAGTGGAGTGGAAAACAAGGAAGCAAGGGAGTGAAGGACAGCGAGGAGGGGAGGGAGCAAGAGAGAGAGAGAGAGAGAGGAGGAGATGGAGGGTGAGAGCAGCAGAGGCAGGGAGACAGTGGGAGCAGCTAGAGTGTGACAGCGAGAGACAGGAAGGCAGCAGCCACCGCTGAGCCACAGGGAGGCTGACACTCACTGGAGGATTTAAAGTGAAGAGAGAACGATGGTGGGTGAGAGAGAGGAAGAGAGAGGGAGCAGGGAGAGAAAGAGAGGGAGCGAGATGTAGGGAGGGGGAGATCAGGTGGGGGGGGGGTGATTTTCTCTGTGGCTCAAACGCTGGGATGACGCTCAGATAACCCTCATCCCCAAGCAGCAGCTGCAGACGTGAGAGGGAAATGAATCCCACGAGAGAACGACTTCTCTATCAATTGTGACATTTGCTGCACATGATAACAATGGCCATCTGTAGCAGCGGGCCGATGGAGGAGAGGGAGAAGGGTGGGTTTGACAGGAGGAGAGGGGGTGGTGCTATTCCAATAAACACACACACACGTTCAAAACCAGAGAGTGAGAGAGAAACCCCACCTCGGCCTGTGGTGGAGGGAGAGACACCTGTTCGAGTCAAACACGGGGTATAGAGAGAGCAACACATGTGCTCAGGAGAGGGGGAGGAGGCACAGACAAAGGAAACAGAGGGCCCAGAAGTGTGGCTTTTATTTGACTGCTTTTGTCATTCTGCCTTGTCATGCCAAGAAAATATTTGCATGTGTGAGAGGCAGAGAGACAATAAACAGGAGGTGGCGGCGGGAGTAGGTCACAGAGAAAGAAAGGGAGAGAGGCATGGGGAGGAAGACAGAGAGGGAGAGAGGAGGGGGGTGGCGATATCAACATTTCAGTACTGACCATGTGGACGTTTTAAAAAGTCTTCATCAGGTATAATACACAGTCAACCAATTTGCAATGTCACTTAAAAATGACTGTTAAACCTCACACACAGATATTTCTTAATAAATGTTTTATCTTTGTCAAAAAACAAAACTAAATAAAAACTCTTTTAATTAAGAATCTAAAGTCTCATATACACAAGTCCTTTTTGTACAAAAATATATCTATGATCATTTTTTTATTTGTTGTTTTTCTGTGAGCTAGCAGCATTACGCAAAAACTACAACACAGATTACTGCACATTTGGTTTGTAAGAATATTCAGTTTGTTTGTTAACAGAAAAATAAATGAACAAATTTCCACGACACTTGTTGAAAGGAATGGACATGAGAAAAATAGAAACATTATATTTTGGTACAGATCTGCAAAAAGGGGCGGATCCAGAATTATTTTTTTCCACTGTTTTAGGGAGACATGATGCTTTTTGATTATTTCACCAATTTTGTAGAAAAAAATTAATCAATCTCAATGAAAGAAATCTATGGGTGTGTGATATGTGGTCTCCTGAGTGCTAGTTTTAAGTGAATCACATTTTGGTTTGTAATAAATTCACGTCTGAAAAAAGTCCCCAACATATTCCTGTTTGAGACATGTTAGCTGAAAACAATTTAAAAAAAATAAGTTATATAATTGTGACCCAAATATTTACATTCTCATTAGGAATCAGTGATTCATCTGTATAACCAGAGTGGGTAGAGTCCATATGTTGCCATTTAATGATGCTTGATCTAGATCTACATTAACTGAGTCTATTTCATTGTTATGTGTCTGCAGCTGATGGCTCATTTCAGCAGTGACTTGCTCAAGTGTTTCAAGTGGTCTACACATTATTGTGAGTCATTTTTCAACCACGCACCAGGAATAGCATTGAGGAAACACTCAGCTCAGTGTTCACCTGTGTTTGCATTTGTTAGCTGAGAAACAGAAGTGGAGGAGAAGCATTACAAGTAAATCTCCTACAGTAAAAACTTCAGTATAAACAAAATAAATGTAACATAAAAGTATTCATTATGTAGAATGGTCCATGTCAATGTTCTATTATTCCATGATTATATCATTATTCTGCACTGACATCTAAACAGCACTGAAATTCCGTTGCTGGTTCAGATGGAGGAAACTTAATTAATTGTTGAGTGGCGTCACGAACACCCTAAAATAACACTAAAACCATTGTTCTTATTATTTTGTACTTGCACAACTGGAGTCTCTAAATAGCATTCATGGTGGCACAGCTACTGTTTTATTGATGATTGTTGAGTTTGGATAATCAGAAATAGCTAACATTCAGCTAAAAGCTCTGTAAAAAATGCTTTCCTGCAAACATGGATGTTGGTCATAACTCCCTCATTACTTGTCATCACTGCAGGTGCAAACATGGACAGCTGTACACACCACAGGCATTTCTTATTTGGAATGCACTTAGATGTGTGCATGTGCAGTTATTGCCATTGTGTATTGCTGTGTACTTGTCCAGGCCGTACCGTGTGAACTCAAAAATATGTACATCAAATGATAAAATTTTACTTGACAGACCCTGTTCATTTGAAGCCAACGTAAGCCTTCACAATTCAAATCTAATGGCTCACACTAGTCCATTAATGATAAACTTTTCAGATTTCACTTTATATTTTACAATTAGTCAGAAACAGATTAGATCATAGAGTGTTCTGTTATTGTTAAAGACAGCTCAAAGGGTTACAATAAATAATGTCTAACTCAGCATCCCTTATGTGGTATTTTGCCTTCTGATCCCTTAAAAAAAAGCAAAGGATACTTGTGGCCCTTCATCACAGGTTATATCGTTATGGGTCTCTGTTGTGAAGGATTTTTAGAGGCATACTTCACTTAATTTAGGATTTTCTTAGTCCTGAATAGGGGTTAACATTCAGTGCCTTACTTATATTTAAGATTCTACAGACCTAAGGAGGTAATACATACAGCATGTAAATTTTATTATGTACATTTCAGTTTTAGAGGCTTTAAGTGGTGAATGTCTCCAGATTTTCATCGTAAAAATTTGTGAGAAGCATGAAAAAAAAAATTTGCAACCCATTTAATCATCAGGTGAAGCCGCTGACGGCCTTATAAAACCATCACTGGCAAAACATATTTAGCGTTTTTATTTAGCCTATCTTCAACTTTAATGTCATTACTGTCTATCCTCTGCGCACGGAGGCCTCCCCATCGTCCTGTGATCTCTGTGAGAGCCCAACATGTTCATCATATAATCAGGCAGGAATCTATTTTCAATATATCAGAACATCATAATCCCGGGCAGGGCACCAGGGGAGGCTAAGAGAGGCGGATTTACGGTTTACGGTCACATGGTCCAGCGCAAGAGGACAGACAGCCAGAGGCCGAGAGGCAGAAAGTGAAAAAGCAAGAGAGAGGAAAAAAAACATACATCAATCTTTTCCAGAAGCCACATTTATCAGGCAACGTTGTAATGCAAACACATGGAAACAAAGACACAGTCACACAGGAGGATGTGGCTTTTTAAATAAATGATGATTGATTAAATAATGTCTATGCATATGTGTGGTAATCAAAACAATTACACAGGGAAGGGGGAAGTGAGCGAAATCCACTCTCTGGTTTTGTTGAAACACTTTGTGGTCATCAGAACTCAAGCAAAATATATTTTTTTAAAGAAAAAACAAACATGATATGATACACTAGACAAATGAACCGAGCAGCGCTGGCCTGTGTCACCCTACCGCAGATCTAACGGTTTGTGATGTAACCGAGCGCAGCTGTGGAGTCTGGCACGGTGCGCAGGGTGTTTGGCCTGAGCCACACTTTTTGTATATTTCATTGACAGCTGCAAAAACGGTGCCCTGCTGCGGTCAAGACACAAGTGGCTTTAATGGGCAGTAAACACAACATGCCCCATGAGAGATGGCGCTGGTGTGAACTGCTTGTTGCGTTTGTTTCTCTTTTTGTTTATCGGATTCGGAAACAGTGAGGATTTTAAGCGATTACAGCAAAATAAAATGCAACAGAATAATTATGAGGGAAATAGAAGGATTAGATTAAATGGAGATGAAACAAATAAGACAGCAGCCAAAAGAAACTGGGTCACGGCATCTAAGATAAGGAAATGAAGCTCTAGAGCAGTTAAGGACATCACTCTTTAGCCAGATGTCCCGATTTAAGCATCCAGCCATTTGATTATTGTGACATTTTTACTCACAAGGCACAGCATGGCGATACAGATTGGCTCGGATGGTCTTCTGCAGCTCGTGGTCGGGTGAAGACTTTTGAAACCTCAAGCTCAGGTAGTGCTTCAGGTCTTTGTTGAGCTTGTGACCTGGAAACAACAGTCAGACACAAATAGTTAAAGTAAAGAAAATTTGATTAAAAAAAAACAGTCGTCTCTTTGCTGTTTACATACATGTTGACCTAAAGAAAGGTCATGAAAGGTCATTTCTATTGTTAAAGTGCTCCTGGATACATGCTAATCTTTCTAAGACGATTTAAAAGAACATTAGATCTGCAGTAAATTAATTTATTTGTTAAAAGATGTTTGTCATAAGCCATTTTCAGGTATGTCCTATGGAGTATTGGGTCTGGACTTTCTCCACTATCGCATTTCACACATGCACAACACAGCGGGAGATTCTGAGCTCAGGAGGTAGCGCATTTACCTTTTTTCCATCTATGCGTCTGACACGAATGCGTTTTAGAAGCATGATTATTGATTTCCAGCCAGCTGGACTATTTACTGCATGTTATTCCGCTTCTCTCTCACCCTGTCTCTTGTCTGTGCTTCTCCATCTCTATTCAAACTAGAATGGCACTCAGTACAGCACATACCTCTGCAAAGGCCCAACAGTCCTATACTCATATAGTTTCTAGTTCTTATGGTAGAAATATAAAAGAAAGAAGTGGTCTGATAACCTACATCATTTATTTGTCATAAAACATTGTTTAACCTACAATTTGTAACTTTGGCTCTGAGGGGTCTCAACAAAAGCCTAGTTTGATGACATCTTAAAGCAGCATGGGATCATGGGAGTTGTTCACCATGCCAATGTAAATCTACCTGATGCAAGTCGGTTTAGTCTGGGCCTAAGTGGAGGACCAACTGACAGACTGACCGCTGGAGCCATGCTGCTCGCATCACTTCGAATGTTGCACCATCAGAATCAAACATGAAACAGGGAGAAATACGTGATACTCAACCTACTGGATTGAATTAAACCAAATCAACGGTGTGAGGAGAGTAGAGGACGGATAACAGGATGGTTCATTTACAGAGAAATTTAGAGGTCGCAGGTTTGGCTAATTGATTAAAGGAGTATCTGATTGGCCAGAATTCCCAGGCTTACTCAGCATTCGGCCAATCAGAGGTGCTGATGCTGCTGGCTGGGTTTGAACAGAGCTCAGGCGTTCACAATGGGGCCAGATGGCCAGAGCTCGCTCTCACGCCAGGGTCTCATTTAGGACCATTTAATGATCTCCAAATATATCATGCATGTCTGGGGGAGCTGGCAGGCACTTCTGAGGGGAGGTGCCATGGCCTCCTGTCAGCCTCTGGGCCACAGCAGAGGAGTTTCTCCTGGCTCTGGGCTTCAGGATGACAGGGTCAGTGTGCTGATATGAAGTACTGGATGGTTTCAAAGTTTTATGACTGAAACTGAGTGAAGGTATAAAACAGCTACAAGAGCAATTTCATCAAGTTATTGTGATATCTTTTGAGTTTTACAATCAAATGGAATAATGTATCATTCATCTGCTGAGAGCCTAACTATATCAGACGGACATATTGTGTAGCAGTGGATAAAGTGAAAATGATCTTCAAGCAGGGGAATAATAGTCATGTGCCCGAAGGTGTGGCCTCATGGTCACATCATCATCTGTAAACCACCATGACTATAAATACTGATGTTACACAGGTAGTGCTACAACACACAGGAATAATAATAATAATCACAATAATATTAATAATAATAACGTGTATTTTAAAGTCAGAAACACAGCTGAGCTAATATTATCATCACTGTGAACCAGACTCTGATGTGGGGTATTTTCTGCCCAGAAGTGGAGACACTTGCTTGGTCGTGGTCTACTTTGCTGTATTTTTCCGTTTCTTTCTCTACACACACACACACACACA